TTTTTTTTTTTTCGATTGTAAACTGCAATTCATATCTTGGAACATTTCCATGATAATATGAGAAATTGCTTTACATTGTTTTCTTGATTTTTTCTTTGTCTTGGGAGATGGTTTTATTTGTCTGTTATTTGAAGCTTATTATTACTGTTTTTTAAAATGTACGAAGATTTAATTAATCTTTAATATTGTGTTGTACTTCGAGAATGCTTAAGACTTTGTATCTAGATTCGTTAAAGAAGGAAAAGAATGAGAAGAAATAAGTGGTGTTCTCTGTTATTTGCATTGAAACGTATACATACAAAGCTGGAGAACTTGAAAGAATGAAATAGCTCTTTTGCCTTTTGGTTATTGTATCATGTACTTCGATAGATAACGTTTAATTATGACGTAAAGATTTTCGTTCAAATAAGCTTGGATTAAATGGAAATACCTGGAATGGATTTTATCTTATAATCTTATAAAATTCTTATAAAATAATAGCATATTCTTTTATCTATATATCGTATATTGTCGATAATTTATATAATTTTTTAACTAATAATTACTTTAGTTTAAGCTTACCTCATAGTTTTTTTTGTTAGTAATTATGATTAAACCATCTCTGTAGCTTCATGGTACATTGGTCTAGAAATAGAAAGGAATCAGGATAACCTTTAGCTGTGAGTAGTGCAAGGGAAATAAAAGATTGTCAGGGGATGATTAAATGTTAAGGGTTATCTCATAATATTTCTGTTCGAGTTTATATTAGAAGATTCGTTTAGTTACTATTAATAATATAAAGTAATGTGCATAAATATATTTTTTACTTATCTTTTTATTTTAATACTTTGATAGCGACTTTCAATTTTTAATAAAATTTATTCTTTCCTATTTGAAATAAAATAAAAAATTGATAGAAAATTATTTTTCAAAGATGAATTTTTGAATTATGTTACGAATTAACAGTATCTCATTAATAAAATTAATGAATATGAGGATTACATAATGCTAGTTGAATTCATCCTCTCCTTTGTTCCGAGCTTTTTGTGTCCGTCTTACAGGATGCAATCCTATAACTTTGCAAGAAAGTACTAGATGTAAATTTATGATGAACACGTGTTTTACCGTTTTTTTCTATTTGCCTTTAAATCACTAAATATATGCACGTATCGAACAAGCTTTATGTCAATTATATCTAGAATCAAAAAATTTTAACGTTATGATACTGTAAGATATCTTATTATTGCATTTTTTTATGTAAAAATCTTCATCTTTACGATACATGCTTAAATAAGATTATATTATGAATTGAAATATCTATTTCATTTTACATAATTTAAATTGAATTCTAAATTTACAGATTGTTTGAAAATTTTCTCTAAAGGAAATTTTTACATAGTCAAGCTATGAAAAATTTATCACGTCAAATATTCGGCTAAACTTCATTTATAATGAACTCTCATATTGTCGATTAAACTTTTATATTTTAAACGTTCATAAATCTTTTGATTATCGAATCATTTTGTTCTAAAATAATCAATTTACATATTATTACATTTTATTTTACTTAAATTTTCTAATATTGTTAATATTGTCTTTAATATATTCATTATTTTATATATGTATAACCTCAAAATAAAATACCAAATACAATTTTCAATTTTGAGAAAAAGAAAGTTTCTCGATAAATCATTATATACAATAAAAAATAGTCTTAATGGAATTAAAATACCTTTTATTGTAACATTATTTCAAGATTCATTACGGGAAAAAAAGGACCATCGTAGATTAAAATTAATTCGATTGATTATTAGCGTTGTAACCCGTGGCGCTTCGTATCGGCTGTACCTTGAGCCGTGACTGCGAGGAAGGGGACGTGTGGGGAATTGGTGGGGGAAGCGAGGTGCCCGGCGAGCTGCCGGGAAGGAGTACCACCGCGTGTCTGCCATCTCTGTCTTTAGTTCAGTTCGAGTTCGGCGTGCAGCCGGTTCGTGTCTGTGTTTTGCGTGCAACTTCCGCCTGATCGACGTTCGTTATATATTCGCGGCTTACGTCGATACGTCGTCGACCTCTCACAGTGTTTTTGCGTCTTCCTGCATCCAGAACGCGGTTACCGGGTCAGATTTTGGAAACGTTAGTAGTCTGCATCAATTCGTAGCGTCACGTACCATTCTCGCAAGTTTCTGAGTGTGGTCAGTGTGGTTTTTAGTCGAAAACGATTATTCGATTAGAATGAAATTTCATGGTGTAGATATCGATTGTACCGTATTGCGTAGTTATATATAATCGATATTAGATTGCGATTTCTTTAAAGGATGATTCATTGTGACGCGTAGGAATAAAAGAAAAAGTTTGTTTTGCTAGCAACGTTTCCATGCGAATGATTCGTTTTACATTAACCGATGCTTTTTCATATTTATTGAGATGAACATGAATATCGTTCTGTATCTAATTATTATATCGATAAATTTCGATAATCACATCGATTGCGATTCGTAGAAAGCAATAATCGATTTATATTTCAAGCTACGCCATTCGGACTAGTTTTTTTTGTGGCTTGTTCAAGCTGTTACATTTTTGCGTTGTGTTGATAGTTTTGAGGATAAATGAAGTCGTGTTTACTTTCGTAATATAGCTATGTACAATTTCAAATGAGTCATTGTGTTTGTTTATTAATAGTGTGCCGAAATTAATACGCAAATGAGTGGAACGGTCAAATTTTACTACGCTTTGTACTGGGATAGTGTTATATGTGTATGGGTTTTACGTCGTTTCTATAACATTACATAAATTATACTCAAAACTGTCATGATATTGATAAAGTTTTCGATTGATTACGTAATTATGGAATAAGTGTCGAAGACAAGATTCCACGAGCGGGTACAGGTTTTTTCGAAAAATTGGAGCTAATTGCTGTCTTCATTATCACGATTTGCAATTTATTATTTAGGACGAACGATTAATCAGGGTACCTAGGTAACGCTGACATCATTGGCAGCTAATTAATCAGTGGCATACATTTATCTCGTGTAAGTACAAGTTATATTGGATGTTTGTGGAGATGTCTACCATCATAGGAATTTTCGTTATTTGACAGCATCGTTAATAAGATTTCTTTGCGAAACGATAGAAATTATTCGATAATAATAATCAATCAATTTTATATATAAAAATATTTATATATTGATCAGCGTTAATCGCTAAAGATTACACATGATAAATATATAAATAACTGCTTTATTGGCAAAATAACTTGAATTTATATTTTCCGGTTTATTAACAATTTTTTTTTACAAATAAATAAAAGTATATAATACTCGAATATGATGAATCGATAATCGCTTTTATCGAAGTAGACAGAAAGTAGACAATGAATGTCATCGATGATTTATTTTATTTTTCTTATATTTTGTTTTCATTAAAAATTAATACGTTATTAATCCGTTTACTCAGTTCAATATGTAAGAGTACGATCATAGGCCGTTCACCCGTATTGACGTGCGAAACCTATACATATTATGCATTAATACTCAGAAACTATAAAGGTTCTTTAGTAGTTGAAAAGTTTCCTTATCATTATGTACTGGAAGAAAAAGTTTCATGTATATATCGATAAAGAAACTGAAAAATATTATTTGAGTTCTTTTATTCGAATAAATGATAATTTATAATATATTTTGTCATTTTAATGAATTGAAATTATTGGTTAGATAGTTAGTTAAAAATTTTGGTGGTGGCGCTACGATTGGTGTTTCCGTTCGACTATCGATTTTTCCACGAATAGCAACGCTTCCCGCGCGAACCAATTAACCAATTAGACGGTTCGATTGATTGTTCCAGAATCCGGGAATATCGATTGATCGAGTGACGAGTCGGTCGCGATATACCGATATCGAAATAAGAAAATACATAGTGGACGATCATGGTGTGACTCGAGTGACTAAATTGATCTTTCGGAAAGATCGTTGAGGTTGACCGGTGGTTGTGTGGTGATTGGTTTTGGTGGTGGTGCTTGATACGCTCCTGGGAGTCGGAAGCCCGTTGGCACCTGGGCCTCGTTTACATCGGTTTACTCATGCTGGGAGTTTTGAAGCGGCGCTGGAAGCCATCAAAAAGGTGAGTAGTCCTCCATATTTTCTTTCTTTTTCCTTTGTTCACATTTTAAATTTATTCGCAGTATTAAAATTGTAAATAATTTTCTCGCGAAAACTATAAAAAAAGATTAATTCGATAGTTGTAAAATATTCGTTTGGTACCTTGAACTTCTATGTAAGGTTAGGATGACGCGGTAATTATGAAATGCAACAAGGTTATTGTATGATAATTGCGTTTTAAAATTCTTCCGAAAACGTTAGTTATAAGACCGTTATTCTTAATTATTGGCGTTATATTCTTATATTATTGGCGTTATTTTATATAGTTATCAATACATTAATTCTTACACCTTATTTATTATATTATTTCATCCAAACTACATAAATATCATATTAACGGTAATACAAATACTAATAACATTACCAAACTCGGTATACACATACGTGTACCACAAAACCGCGATAAATTCACGATACCGTCGATATTTCCCGCACGAAGAAATTTGTTAGGTTGTTATTTATAACTGTACTATAACTAGCCACAATAGAACAATGGAACAATAGAATAATGCGGTCGGTAACGAGGAGCAACGTTGTAAGAAGTAAAATCGCTCGTTCAATTTTACCTCCATTCGGTTTACCGAAAAGGCAGAAAAATAATCGAAACACGAGTCAAGATCAAAGAGTAATTCCAATGTTTCGTTATTTGTCGTATGCCTTTTCTCTTCCCCGAGAATTTTCCTGTGTTCGTGGAACGTCTTAAGAGTAACCAGAGGCTGTCTTTGTGACTCGTTTGCTCGAGAAAATCGGTCGTAGGCAAGAATAAATATACCTGTTTTTTGGTTTCATATTTGTCGGAAGATCGGTTTGGATCGTGTAAATGCATATCGTGTATAGGTTAGCCTTATAAAAGTGTGCGAAAAGCTTTGAAAAAGACGATCGTTTATTCGAGCAATGACTTCTACATACGATAGATATTATATCTGAATGAAAAATTTGAATGGAATCGAAATGATAAAGGGATTTTATCCTCCCCCGATATTTTTTCCCTATAACGAAGATATCCTTTTATTCGTTTCACCAGGAATATAACGAGACTTGTACAGCCAGTTTCTATGATTCTATTTGCTGCCCGTTTTTTCGTTGCTATTAATTCAGTTCGTTTAACATCACTACGTAGATGACTCGAATATAATCCTAGTTGAAAATGAATTGTATAATAAGTTAGAGTAGTTTCGCTCTTTGTTTTAAAATTAGAGAATTCTTCTCTTATTCTATTTATTTAGAATAACGCAATATTTGAGTTTCTATGTTTCGAATATAGGTTAATTAGTAGATTAATTTTAAAAGAGAAATTTCTTGTAAGCAAAAATAATTAAACGAATAATCACACACGCGAATGTTAGACTAATTGGCGAAAGGAATTAATAAAGTTTTCAGTTAAAATAATCGGTATTCGTCGGGATTTATTGTTCGTTGTAATTAATCTTCTCAAGCTTTGATCAAAGTTCATAAATTGAAGATGTAGCGCACATAGTCTATAAATTTTCACTATATAATAAAGTAGACACGGTATATCTATACATAAATTGAAAACGTTATGTAGGCCGATTCTCCTTTGTTTCCAGAATAGAACCAATTTATCGTTATCTAGGAAAGCAATAATTTACTCACTGTCATCCAGCAACCCAAATATAGAAAACATTCAAATCTAATTTCAAATCTTGGATCTAGGATTTAATTCTATGCCTTTAAATCATTTCGATTTATCAAATAAATTTTTTTCAAATAAATCTAACGTTATTTCAAAAAGACATCGAATAAATTTCTAGAGATCTACGAGTATATTCTCATCGGAATATCAAATTACACGTATTTATAACGTCTTTTTTAGAAAGAATGAACCGCTTCATCGGTAAAATCGGTATTTTCGCCTGTGCAAAGCGTATTTACGCGATTTTCATTGCGCTACGTCTTCTCTCGTTTCGCGGATTATTAAAACACACCTCGTTAGAAAGAACATTGGATTCGCCACGATTTCGTAAGCGCTGCACAAACGGCAAACGATGTCTATTATTATCGAGTACCGAACTGTAATCCAGATAAACACCGGTGTGCGTTGTTGCGCGGCTAAATTAGAATAATACAGGCAAACTCGAGCGCGGGATACGTGTAACATAATTGCATCGGCGTAAATAATGGCCACGACTCATGCCGGTGTACGTCGATGCTCGCGTACCAAGGTGATCCCATTTAACTCGGCTGCATAACTTTGCATACGGATATTTACCCGGGCTAATTTAAACGAATTATCATAACACCTGCCCGCGTCTTGCTCTCTCGATTAATTTTCATTAGAGACTGACCGACTGGGTCTGGAATGGTGGAACAGGTGATAGGCGCTAATGATCTTTCACGGTAACGGATTTTTATTTATTTTATTAGGGGGAGAATCGAGGAAGTCTGAATAAATTAAATAACTCTTTTCACTTTGTAATTATATTTTAATTGTGTGTTATTTTTTTAAGCAGAACTTTTTTTTTCAACTTGTGACTTGTTCTCGTTATTAAGAGGGTATATTGCAATAATTAGTTGTTCCCTGTTTTAGTTTAGTGCAATGATAATTAAATTATAACAAACGCGTAAGGTTTATTCAAGATTTTCAGCGTCAATAAAGAATTATTCTTTCTAATCCCATGATTTCTTAATATAATCAGTTTCTCGAGATAATGAAGAATTTAGAATTTCGAATTATTTTCTCCCAATCTTGTAATAGTTTTGCATATTTTATAATTATTAGCAGAATATTCGCGTGTATCCAGAAACTGATTATATTCAAATAGCTCGTCTACTCGTTCCCTCTCGAAATCGAAGTCCCGACATTCATATTTATTTGCTTTCGAATATATATCGGTGAGAACTCTATTAAAAATAGATCTCAAGAGTTTTAAGCGCGATAAAACGTTGCAGATTCTTCTTCTTGGCCGTGTATTTTTGCTATCTGCAATATCTCTTGCTCGAATTAATGCGATTCTGATTCGAGACTCTTTCGAGAATAATAGAAAATGGAAAATATTTAAATTCACATTGAGATCACGGTATTCGATATTTCGTTCGAAAGAGTTAAAAAAACATGTTCGGGGAAACTTTTCTTTCTTCGAGCTCGAAAAGGCTCGAGAAACGAAAGAAATCCTTCGTTATTCGGATTTGATCGTTCTCTCGATAAAATTCTGGAATCGAATATCTTTGTTGGTCAGTCAAGTGTTATAATTTCGAAATAATCCCTTCCGAGAATCATCGAAAACGACGACGAGATATCTCGCCCGTTTTATCGGCTCGATTGATTCGATATAAATTTAACGGGCGGGTAATTTGCTAACGGTATCCCTGATCAAGCTCCTGGTTCGGTCAAAATGCCAACTGGTGCGCGGAATTCCACGCGTTTCGAGCGAGAAAACGCGGCGCGATGCAGCTGAAATGCTAGCTCGTTCGAAACTAGTTCGTTAAGGAATTCACCCACAGGAAGTGCGTATCACGCGATACAGTTACGTTTCAGGAAGGGAGAAGGGAAGGACGAGAAAATTGAGAGATGGGGAGAGAGAAAAAAAAAAAATGATTTAAAATGGCAAACGAAAGAAACATTGTTGTTAATTTTCGAATGGCGGTGCAATTGTTCGTCTAGATTAATTTACAAAATTTGAGATTTTTTTTCTCGACAAATTGATGATTTGAAAGAAAGTCGAAGAGTTGCACTCGAAGATGGATCTTTGGATTCAGGGTAATGATTAAAATTTTGTTCGAAAGGATGAAATTTTATGCGCGTTTTATGTTTGAGTGATTTTGCGCAAAACAGATTATAATATTTTATTCGCGCTAGAACAAATGGAAGAAAATATTTTATAAATTCTCTCGTTTCTCTCGATATTTTCACTCGATATTCCGCACCATTTTTTATTTGATTGATTTTTCTTCTATGTTTCATAATTCATGATTGATTTCTTTTTTTTTTCGTAACGAAATTTAATAGCTCGAGATGTTAATCCGATCCGTGGAAGTTGGAATTAATCCGAGATTTTTCAGTTCCCTTAATTAACTTTGAATTTTAGCTTTCGATAATATCGTGTATACGCGTTTAATCTGCTGCATCTATTTTGTTCAGAGATCATCTTGCATGCAGAGTCGTATTTTTCTTGTTAAATACGCGTTACAGGATACTGTTATTTCGTCGAGCGAAAATAAATTTCCACGATTATTTACCATTTTACCAATTCACCATCCTTTTATTTCATAATTTATTTCATAATTATTATTAATAATTCCATTGTATATTTTTTAAAAACGAGTAGAAACGAATCTAAAAATACTGATTGAAAGTTCAAACTCGCATTCGAATTCGTCTAATCATCGAGAATCTATCAAACGTATTTCTCAAACGTATTTCTTCTCCTTGTTCTCAATCGCTCGTAATACGTCCACTTAGGAAAAATAAAATTCGCGAGAGCAACTCTCAGCAGAGACTTTTTAGATCCCAAATGCATTCGCTATTCTTACATTTGAAAGCAAGAAGTGAAAAGGATACTCGCTCATCGTCGAATAGGGTGTAGTTACACAGCAGAACCAGTCTTTTTCTACAATTATAATGGACGAACGCGTCGTTATCCGATAAAATTCAACTCCTCTCTCTTCTCTCTCTCTCTCTCTCTCTCTTCCCACGGTATATATCCATCTCGCAAAAGTGCACGAAACGAGGAGCACAACGTGAAAGCGTTGAATAGGATTCGCACGAGGGTGTAATCTCATTCGCAATTATATCTGTCGCGCGCGAGGAGAAGAAGCGCGCAACCCGATCAAGCGAAATCCCCTCTCGTTTCCGGATATGAGGGAAATGAAGGAGAGGGAGGGGATGAAAGGGGACGGGTCTAAAGAGATTGAAAATACGTGAAAAAGAAAAAAAGGAGAAGAAAAAGAAAATACGTCGGTGAAAGTAAGAATGGATCGAAAGATAATTCCGTTGCACTCAAATTCGCCAGATTTTCTCGAATGGGATAAGATAAGTCGAAAATGAATGGATGGATTATACGATATACTTGGCGAATATTCGGAAGAATATTTCTCTTTTCGTCGTATTCTCGTTTCAATCTCTCTTGCTCGATGACGATTTTAATCGCATTCGCATCAGAGGTTTGAAACGATCTTTGGATGCATTTATACCTGCGTTTAATTTCAGAAGATTCGTGAATTATTTTGTAA